ATTCCCAGCGCCCGGATACCCCCCGTTCCCGGTGCCTGGATACCCCTGGCGCTCAGCTATCCCCCCATTCCCGGCGCCCGGTCCCCCCCCCATGCCCGGCGCTCCGCCGATTCCCACCCTTCTCCCCCAGGAATTCTTTGGTGACGACTTCTACGGGCGGGAGGAGGAGGAGAAGCCGCAGTTCGAGGAGGAGGAAGGGCTGGAGGGTGAGTGGGGGGCTCCGGAATCCGCCCCCCTCCTCGCTCCGGGATCCGCTCCCGGGACTGGAGCCGGGGCTGGACGGCGCCGCTTCCTCGTCCGCAGACGACTGGAACTGGGACACGTGGACGGGCCGGGATGAGGATCCGGATGGGGATCCGGCCGGGGATGTGGAACAGGAGGAAGGCGGCAGCCACGAGCCGCACTGCGAGGACCCCGACTTCGTGGTGGGTCCCGGGGCTGAGACCGGGCCCAGCTCATGACAGCGATGAGCAGAGTGCTGGGGGGGGGTCTCAGTTCCCCCCCACTGATCCTCGTGTCCCCCGACAGATGGATGCGGATTACGACCCCCGCGCTCCCGCCGGGAAGCAGCCGCCGGCGCCGGGGCGGAAGCGCCGCTTCCGGGAGGCCCTGGCGCGGCCCAAGCCGCTCTTCGACCCCGGTGCGGCCCGGGGGGCCCGGGGGGCCCGGGGGGCCCGGGGGGGCGGTTCCGGTGCCACCGGTGCCCCCCGTCGCCCGCAGCCGCCGGCTCCTTCGAGCGCTACCTGGACGAGTTCTACAGCCTGGACTACGAGGACCTGGTGGGCGACCTGCCGTGCCGCTTCAAGTACCGCCGCGTGCCGCCCTGCGACTTCGGCCTCAGCACCGAGGAGGTAGCGCCCGGACGCCGGGGCCCCCTCCCGCCCCCCCCCCCTCCCCGCTCCGGCTTCGCTCCGACCGCTCCTCCCGCAGATCCTGGCGGCCGACGACAAGGAGCTCAACCGCTGGTGCTCCCTGCGCAAGACCTGCATGTACCGGTGCGGCCGGGGGGCGCGGGGGGTCCCGTGGGGATGGGGGGGTCCCGTGGGGATTGCGGTCCCCGCGGGGATTGGGGTCCCCGTGGGGTTTGGGGGGTCCCCGCGGGGAT